CAAGTTATGTGGTTGACTTTCACCTTATTAAACACAACGAATATATGAAATTCATATATCTGAACTGCGGTTATAGAAACGTATTTGTGCACGATCCTCGCGGTAAAGAGCACTATTTAAGCCATAGTGAAAAGCAGACCTGAAAAAATTCAGGCCTGTACGGGATTCGAACCACTGACCTTTGCGATACTAGTGCAGCGCTCTACCAATTGAGCTCACAAGCAAACTGGAAGCAGGTCATCAAATTATTGATCCCAGTTGGCCCATTATTGGCCCAGTTGGTCATCAAATTATTGCTTCTAGTTTGCTAGTTAGCTCAATTGGTAGAGTGCTGCACTAGTATCGCAGAGGTCGGTATTCGAATCCCGTACAGGCCTGAATTTTTCCAGGTCTGCTTTTCACTATTGCTTAAATAGTGCTCTTTATTGCGAGGATCGTGCACAAATACGTTTCTATAACAGCAGTTGAAATATATGAATTTCATATATTCGTTGTGATTGAGGAGAAGGGTATCATCTGACCACGCTGGTGTATCTATAAATAGGATTTTGATTCTGAGACTTTCCATAATTTGTCCGGAATTAAATGAATACACCTTTATAGGATTTGGGGAGCTAAAGTATGCTTGTGGCAACGCGCGTAAGCAAATCTCAAATTTTCGTCAGTTGTGGATCGCTGTCCTTTCAGGCAGTTTAGTCAAAACACGAGTTTAGGTTGTGGCAACGCACAAATGGGAATTGGAAAAAAAACTATTTTAAAACATGTTTACTAAACCCTTTTCAAGCCGCGGAAAATAATAAAGGAATTTTTTTGCTTGCGATTTCAAGAAAAAGATTCTCACTAACAAGGCTACTCAAACGTTTAATTTACAAAATTTAAAGCTACAATTCGTTGTGCGTCAACGCTAATTTTAACCTCCCCTCTATAACAAAGTTCCAGCCTCTGAAAGTTCAAAACTCTTAACATTTTATTGCGGTTGAAACCAACTTTACAGAACTGCAACAATCAGACAATGGTGCCCTGAAATTTAGCGAATACATTAAAAATTTCCTACATGTAATTATAAAAAACAAGACAAACAGAACAAGGAAATTATCACTGAGAATGTAGTCCAAGAAACATTATGTGGTTTCATTTTCCTTACAGTCAAAACATGAAAATACCTGTAACTGTTGTTGAATTGCTTTTCTACCTTATTCATAAACATTTCGCAAAATAACGCTAACAAAGTCCAACGTAAACAAATACCACAATCTGGAAATTCAATTCTACAGAAGAAAAAAATTAGGATATGAAGGGAAACAGGCATCCCAGTCACCAGAACAAGTTGACACCTAATTATAAGAGTGACCAGCATCTAATTTCTCCTTACAATATCACTGCTGAATCAAACATTAAGGTCAGGAGAATAGAGGAAATGATCAGCCAACTAAAGCAGCTCTTGATTATTAAACAAATTCTGTTTGTCAGCGCCCTTAGAAATGTACAGTGAATACAATGGAGAATATGGTTACTGATGTGAGCGAACTAAGCTGACTAAGAGCGTTTAACATAAGTCTGAATTCGCAAGCTGTGGCCCTGTTAAGTTTAAAAATGAAGAGGAGAAATTTCTATAATTTTCTATCAAAAGGCATGATACAATTTAGAAGCTGATTGATCTGGCCGGGTACTTTTCAGATCTTTTTAACAACGACTCAATTCTGGCGAAACAGTTCTGCCAAATTGTAAACTTTATATGTTAAGTTTATAACAACCATTAGTCTAATAGCCGGCGTAATGACGCCCATTTCCTGTTGTGACTTTTGAATGCCTGTTATTTCAGTCTGCAGATGCTGAACACCTGCACTTATCTTTTCTTTTCCACCATTGATAGCTCGCTCAAAAATTCTCTCAATTCTTGGAAGTTTCTGATGGGTAATCCTTCGAGATGTGATTCATCATCATTAAAACTGTCTTCTTTGTCTATTTTAGTGGAAAGAAAAAATGAAAGCGATTATTTCTTTAATGCCAAATCATACTTGTAGAAGACCTGAATTTCACCCTATGATCATGAGCGAAACACCTCTATTACGGGCACAAGCCTCTGTGGTTTGCCAGATTTTTTTCTTTTTAAAATATACTAGTATATATCTTAATTCCTCTCGGGTGATGAAAATAATACTGGGCCAGAGTTCTGTTCGTTTGCCTGCATCACTTTTTAACGCTAACAAATTTCCTTTGAACAACGCGAATCATCAATATTTTGAAGACCTGGCGCCTAGTCAGAGTCCCTCGGGAAATAACTTTTTCACAATTTGACGTAGCATATCCTGCCACGATGTATAGTAAACCATTGCCAGCGAGAGAAACAATTTAATGGAAGATGCTACTAACTAAAAGCACCTATTTTCCTACCAGTGCAATAAACTCAATTTTCAGCTATTTAGATATCGAACAAGTCAGAAAACATTTCAGGATTTATTTGGATTTACAACACGAAAGCAGCGCTAGTCACTGA